AAGTCCCAAGAGGGCCTTGGATTCCATGATCTCAAGGTTTTTAATCAAGCCTTATTAGAAAAATAAATGTGGAGATTATATAATAATCCAAACCCACTGCTTCATGAAATACTCAAAGCTCGGTACTTCAAAAATAGTTCGATTTTAGAGGGCGTATCGAGGGTATGATCCAAGTTACTCTTGCAGGAGTTTGTGGGGAGCAAAATCGCTGCTTCTCGAGGGGCTCAATTGGAGGATTGGGAATGGAAAAGATCTTAGTGTTTGGCTTGACTCATGGATCCTTGACAATGTTATCCCTCATCACGATACGAATTTTGACCCTGAACTTCGTGTTGCAGAGTTAATTGGCCAGCATTGTGGCGAAAGGAGGGTGGATAAATTATAGCAGCTCTTTTCAAATGAGGCATGTGCTCTCATCCTTCAAATACCGCTAACTACGGATATGCCAGATGATATGAGATTTTGGGGGCATACGATGGATGGGGTGTACAGTGTGAAGTCAGTATATTGGCTAGGGAAATTGGGAAATTCCCTGTTTCTCATAGCGAGAAACGAAATTTGTTTCTCATGGGGGCATTTTCGTGAATAAATCAACAACTTTTTCATTATTGTGGGCTTTACAATTGAATAAAGTTGAATAAAGTTGTTGGTTTATTTACAAAAATGCCATGTGAGAAACAAATTTTGTTTCTCACTTGAGAAACTGGGGCTCCCTCGGAGAAATTGGGGTTAGCTTAGGCGGGTTTTAATGCAGGTAACGTTGTAGACCAGGGGGTTTGGCATATCACTTGGGGAATTGGTGGTCCGCCCAAACTGGGGCATTTTGTATGGAATGCTTGCAAGGGAAGTATGGTGTTAAGAGGGAGATGCGTAGAAGACACATAGCTTCTGACGAGCTGTGCGGAGGGTGTGGGATAGAAGAAGAATCTATATCCCATGCTATATTCGATTGCAGGATGATAAAAAATGTCTGGAGAAATTGTGAGTTTGACTCTTATCATTTTTGACTCGCCTAGGCATGGCCCTTTCTTTGTATGACTGCTATGGATGGCTGACAAGGTGGACAAAGTGAAGCTTAGGACTATCTTTTCAATTGCGTGGGCTATGTGGTTTTGCAGGAATAAGAGAGTACATGAAAATGCTACTCTTGATGCTGATTTATTGCTGCAGGTTTTCTCCGTATGGTACACGAGCACAATACGTATGCAGCCAAGGTTCTCAAGCTACCTGTTTTGCCTCGTGTTGCTGCTGTTAATAGATGGTTGCGCCCCTCAAATGTTGTTGTTAAGCTGAACGTGGATGTACATGTGGGTTCGATTGCTAATGGGGGTTTGATCTAAGGTGGTTGCTAGAGACTGTGAGGGCAACATTCTTTAGGCTGCAGTCAAGAAGTCCCCTGTTAATTGGGATGTGGAAGTGGTCGAGGCTGTTGTGGTTTGGTATGGGTGTCAAGTAGCTAAGCACTTTGGCCTTATGCATGTGTGGGTCGAATGTGATGCTGAAGTTGTGGTGAACAAGATTAAACAGGCAAAAATAATGGTATTTCTTCTATTTGGCTGGTCTATAATGATATAGATCGTCTTGCCAAGACTTTTCATGTTTAATATTTATCATGTACGCAGAGCAGGAAATATGGTTGCCCATCTTGCAGCTCGATGGGATACCCAGGGTATATAGTGATGAAGTTGTATGTTGTGGTAATTTCCCACAAAGCATTTTAGCTATTGCGGAACTTGACTTGAAATAAAATTCCTGTTAACATCTTCCCTCAAAAAAAAATGTAGTAGAGCATTAATTTATAACTAAAGCACGAGAAATCGTCACCTATAAACCGTATCCCTTTAGTGTTTTAATCAATATATATACAGGTTACTCTTATATCTAGGTATTCATTTAGCCCCTTAAAAATTGCACCATTTAGCTTTTTGTCTTTTTACGGTTTTTAAATTGTCATAACACGTTTTTAAATGTAAATATCAACAATTACATAAAAATATTAAAAAATTAATATTCTAAAAGTATACATTACAACGAAGGAGTATATGATAATTTTATTTTATTTTATTTTTTTGTTATGAATCAATGAAAGTTATGGTCAAAATCTTCTAAGGTTAATCCAAAAAATTGCAATGGCGCAATCTTTATGGGATGCAGGCATGTAGGGAGTATCTAATTGGAGACTTATACAAACTTATCAATAAAAATCTTCTCCTTAAATCTCTTTCATAAACAAAACATTTTTTTTGTTATAATTACCAGGAAAAATATTTTGGCTTAAAAAATTAATTGAACTATAATTATTAGCTTCTTCTTCCTTTTTTTTTTTGTTATAACTTTTTTTTTTTTTTTAATTGTTTTCCTTAAAACATACGTAGTATGTCAAGATGACATGTTGCGATTATATAAAAATCGAAACAAGTATAGAGGTCGGCAGAATTGAGTAAAAACCCACAGAAGTAATAAAAAGTGTGTATTTTCGCACTCTTTAAGTCGAAAGTATGATGCATGGGTGCCTAGTTAGAAAGTAGGGAATAACTATGAAAGCTACACGTTCCAAAACATAGAAAATTGCCAGATAAAAAAAAAGTACAAATTGCCAAATAGGACACAACAATTTTCGTGGAAAATGAGTAATCTTTTGTGTCTGTTACTAACTTTATTTTAAAATTTGATTCCAATTTATGTCATAAAATAAATAATGACTCCCAATTTGTCAATATTTTGCTCAAAGACAATGACCCACACCTAATGCATGAACAACTCACGTTGATTCTGCAGCTAAACTTTACCTTTGTCATCAGGAAATTTAGTACCACTACTATATAGAGTAATTAAGTGTACTACTACTAGTATATACTCCGTATAAAGTCCGTTTTTTTCATTGATATATTTTGATTTCTACATTATTTGAATGCGTTTTTTTTTTTTATAACTATTTTGTGTAATTTATTTATATGTGAGATCTAGTTATACTCATCTTAATATATAACTAGTGATTATCTCGGATAATGTCCCATGATATTTTTTGTATTTTATATTTAAATGAGGAAAATTTGATGACATAACATGATATATACTAATTTCTTGATATAACTCTACAATGAACTAAAATAAGAAATAATAATAATAATAATAATAATAATAATAATAATAATAATAATAATATATCAATTATTATTACAATATTACTATAATTGAGTTGGAGGTTCAACTACATGTTTTAAATCTCTTAAAGTTATATATTTGTAAGGATTTATTTTCATTTCTTTTGATTTTTGAAACATTAATCAATAATGTTATATTGTACGGACTAATAGTGATAAAAGTTTTTACTTTTAATTTTAAAGATTATAAGTTTGATACTTAACATTATATTAGCAACATTTTTATTTTTATTTGATTATAATTAAAAGGTTGACATGAAATTAGAGAAATTAAACATGTCACGTGTCATTTAATTTTATTTTATTTTTGTTTTTCTAATGGTAAGAAGGAGGAGGTTCATTAAGGGGGAAGATGTGGGAAATCTCTCAAATAAATTTCATGAAATTTGATCCCTATAGCTCAGGGATACAAGGTGGGAGTGATATCACTACTCCAGCACCTCAACTTGGTCGTTTAAACTTTTTTAGAAAGATCTTTTAATATAATTTTGGAGCAAGTATAAAAGTTGATAACGTACCATATATGTCCAATTTTTCTGTAACACTCCTCTATATAATTGCCAAATGTCATTCAATATCTCAGCAAATTTTGTGGCCAGTCACCTACCCAACCCATTCAAAGTTGGACCTGATAATTCTTCTAAGTAGTATCGAAACTCAATTCTTAAATTTGTACCCCCATTTTTTTTTTGTTTAGATGGTTCAAAGATTATTATTTTTTTTTTTTACAAGAGATGGTTCAAAGATTATGAACAAGTATGAAATAAATACAGATAATTCCTTTGTAATTTGTACTGTTGTGGAGGGAGTTACGCATGGTTTTGCTGTATTTAATTTTCAAAATTATGATTTTTTTTTTTTAATGAAATGTATTATTGTATATGATTTTCAAAAATATAAAAAATTAAAAAGTGAAAAATACAGTAATACTAAACGAACACTTACACCATATTTCGGAGAATTAGATTTACTTTTATTCAATGCCATTAAGTTAGTTGAGTCTTGACATCAAAGGGTTATAGTTTCTTTTTATACGTACATTGGCACATATGTGAACAACTCGGGGTATTATATTTTTTGGTAAAAATTTACCTTAAAGTTTGAAGTGCTGAACTAACTCATTTAATAGCCTAATTTTTCTCTGTCATGCACCTCACTGAACTTAAAATGTATACATAATCAAATCATTCAAAATAAAAAAATTTAATGTGTGACCAAATATTTCCAAGCAGTAGCCAATAGCCATGATATAAAAGTCACGAGTATACACCAATATTTGGTCCAACTTATCACCTAAAGGGTGATCTTATGTTGATAAGACGATTTTATTAAAATTTTGTAATACTCGTATGTATAATGTATTTTCTTATGTTGTTTTACAATTTTTCACTGGCTATAAGAAAAAACCTTTTAAAAAGCTAAATTAACAACTAAGAAGTCTGATTCATTTCCTAATATATGAATTTTTTATTGATATAATTTGATACATTTCAATTATTGTCATGAATAATTGAGTACACATGAATGACATTATTAAAAAAGCTAAAAATGAAAATCTTAAGCATTAATTAAAAGATTTATTACATTGATCACATTTGATTTTGTCACTAACTACTATTCTAATTTCTAATACTTCTTTCATCTCAATTTACTTGACCCATTTAACCAAGTTTTATAAATTAAACAAGTTAATAAATTAGTGTTAGACGATCTCACGCAAAACTTACTCTACTTTCTATGGGCGGTGGGTCCCATGGAGTACTAATTAAACAGTAAACATAGTTATCCTTAATGGTTAAGACACTGTTCAAATTGTAGTATAAATAGAGGGCAGGTACTAAGGTAATGAAGTAGAAATTGATTTTGAAACATCTCTCATTCCAATAAAAAAAAAATCTTTAGGAAAAAAAATTTCACAAAAAAATGGCCACCCTCATTGCCCCTGACCACGCTGATCCTATTGCTGATGCCGAGGCTCTCAAAAAAGCATGCCATGGTAATAATCATCAACATTTTCTTTGTTAGATTGATTAATTTTTGCATGAAAATTATTATTAAAATTATTATTTTCACAAATTTATACTCGTGTTTTAAAAAAATGTGACAAAGTTTTATCGGTAGGGTCCGGACATGGCCAAATAGGCAAATAGTATATGTAACTATTAATTTCTGATAGAGTGAGTCGAATGTGACAATTTTGATTGTAAATTTGTAATTGCAGGATGGGGAACTAATGAGAAGGGTATCATCGAAGTCATTGGTCACAGGAATGCAGCACAGAGGAAGATGATCAAGGAGGCTTATGAGCAGCAGTACAATGAAAATCTCATTAGGCGTTTTGAGAAGGAGCTTTCTGGGGATTTTGAGGTGAATTTTTATTTATTTGTTTATTTCCGTTCAATCATCTCAGAAATTTATTTCATTTTATGAGTTTTTTTCTTGTTTTTATTGATGTTTTGGACAAATTAATTCGTTGTTTTGTCCCAGAATTATATGTTTATGCATAAATTTTGCTGAGACATTAATAATCTTTTGGTAGGGTCATGTTTTTTTGAGATTGATAGGAATACAGTATGTATAAAATAGACAACGTCTGAATCTCATCTGGGTTATGGTGATAGGAAGATTTTTTTTTAATTTTTTTTGTGAAGCATTTTATTAGTGAAAATTTTATGGTAATTATCCTTAAAATGACTACAATAATACTAATTTTTTATTGGCTGATTTTTATGTCAAAATTAATTACACTAAAAATGTTTTTTTTTTCCCTCATTTTCAAAATTTATTTTTTATTTTATTTTTATGTTTTCATAATTTATTTGTGAATTATTTTTTAATTTCAGTAATAATAAAAACTGAATTTTGTAAATTAATTAGGAAAATCATAGAAAAAATTCAAAAATTATTTCAAAATAAATATTTGTATTTTAAAAATTAGATAAATGATCGACATTAAAAAATAAATCAAAATCAACCAATAAAAAATTAGTGAATGACTACCATAAAATCATACAATTAATTAGACCAAGTTTGGTTTGGGGTCGGATAAATTTGGGTTCGGCTAATCGGGCACGAGTCAGTTTTAAAGTTGCTATCAAGTCAAATAAAATTTTCAGCATTTTTCTGGATCATTTTGGGTTGAATATTCGTGACTGAGGGTTGGTTTACAATATGTTATAAGTTCAAATCCCCCTTCCCCATTTGTATTATAACATGTAATGTTATTTTGGCTCAATCGGACCAAAAAAAAAAAAAAAAAAAAAAAAAAACCTTTTCGACCACAAAGTTTTGTTTATGTGTAAATTAAATCTTATGTACTTCTAAAAAAATATCTCTAGAAATTAGAAAGGTTGTGATATCATGTTAAACTCAAGAAAATATTTAGTAAAAAACGGCTTGATAAGCCTTTACCATTAATCACAAATATATAGGGTTATAACCTAACTTGCCAAAAACTCATAACAAGATATATACAAATATATTCACATAATATATCTAATTTAACATAAATATATCCTAACAAAAGTTCTAAGTCATAACAAGTGTAGCTTTCACTAATTTGTACATGGTTCAAATTGTGATATTTAGAGAGCTGTGTACCGATGGATGTTGGATCCCTTGGACCGGGAGGCTGTTCTAGCCAATGTTGCTCTCAAGAAATCGGACTACCGAGTAATCGTAGAGCTCGCATGCATTCCATCTGCGGAGGAGCTCTTGGCATTCAAACGGGCCTATCAAACTCGTTACAAGCACAGCTTGGAGGAAGATGTTGCATCTCACTTCTCTGGTGATATGCGCAAGGTAAGTCTTCTGATCGCATCCTTGCCATTATTATGATTTAAATTACTTCGTTTTTAGATGTCATTTTACATCATTATAACATTAAAAATTTCGATATTGTTGCAGCTGCTGCTTCTGCTGGTTAGTGTTCACCGGTATGAGAGTGAGGCTTCAGAGCCAAAACTGGTGGAAGCCGAGGCTGCAATCCTTCACAAGTGTATCAAAGATAAGGCTTATAACCATGACGAGATCATAAGGATCATTACCACCAGGAGCAAGGTTCATCTCACTGCTACCTTCTACCGGTACAGAGATGTTTACAGCACTCCAATCACTAAGGTAAATAAGTAATTGGACATGATTCATTATTGACAAATATTTCATGCAAAATTCGATTGAAAATTTCATTTGTGCTTTATGACAGCAACTAATGGGCAAAACTTTTCCTTTGTTTGTGTAGAGTTTGGCTTCTGATCAAGACAAGGATTTCGTAGCAGCGCTTCAAACAGCCATCAGATGCATCAAGTCCCCTTTGAAGTACCTAGAGAGGGTAATTTCTCTTCTTGCTCTATATACAAGTATACTTTTTGTTAGAAACATTTTGTTTTGGTTTTACTTGTTATAATGTTAATTTATGCCGTGTTTGCGTATAGCTTGTGACCGAGGCAATCAAGAAGCGTGGAACTGATGAGGATGCTCTGACAAGGGTGATTGTAACAAGAGCTGAGAGGGACTTGGGGGAGATCAAGGAGCTGTTCTACAAGCGGAACAGTGTGACCCTGGAGCATGCCGTGGCTAAGGAGACTCGTGGGGATTACGAGAAGTTCCTCCTTGCACTTCTGGGAAAACAGGATCATTAAACTACATGATCATATAAAACCGCCCTGTAATTCCAGTGTCGTTTTTAGTTATGTTGTGGTAATTTAAGTTGAGCATTATCGTTAGTAAGAAGCTCAACAAGGCTATGTATTTGAACCTTTTGTGGTGTGCGTTATGTTATGCTGAGGAGTTTAATATATGAATGGAATATCATTTGAACTTTAGTTGATTTGGCTACACATCAACTGAGGTAAGGTCTTTTAGCTGTGACCGTGTTTCAAATTTTTTTATATTCATGTGTAAAATGTGGGTTTTAAATTGTTTGAAAGGGAAAACAATTCCTCAAGTTGTTTATTTGATTACAGAAGTCTTAACTTTTCATAAAAAGTTCCATTTACTTGAAGGAGTTTAAATGAGCAAATTCCTCCATTTTGTAGAAAGCGAAACTTTTTATGACATACTTCGTATAATTTTGTCAACCAGACAACTTTTTATGGTTTCACTTCCTTAGAGCCTAATAGGGCGCTTTACATGTAATTCATTATCTCTATCATATACACTACATACACACCTACAATATTACTTCGTATATTGCAAAGAAGAAGAAGAGAATATGGTGGGACCGAGCCAAGGAAACATCACATGGTGAGGCTGGACGGAAGGGAGAGATCTAAACATATAACTAATCTCCTAACTTTGTAGAGAAAAAAATAATAATAATTAAAAAAAAAAAAGGGTTGAATAATAAAGCCTAAACATATTGTTAGCATTATCACTCGCTAATTAAAAAATAGTCTTATTTTGAGACCATGAAAAATATCATATGTCATAAGATATTTTTGCTACTTTCGTACTTATATAGTTGTATTACCAGTACTACTTAATTGGAGATGCTCAAAATAACAGAGGTATCAAATTAGATGTTTGGATAGGATTAATATTGAGTTTGTTTTGAATAATTTAAAATCATGACATATTTTAATTAGCTTGTTACTCAAGTTGATTCATCCATAATTTGGTCAACTTTTAAACACTCTAATTTCTCTAGTGAATTGTACCATTTTCTCTCTCTCTCTCCCTCTCTTGTTTTTTTTTCCTCCCCCTTGTGCTTAGACTTATCCAAGTGACACGACTAAATTTCCAAGCTTTATAACTTATTGAGGCTCATAATTTGAAAAACAAACTAATTATATTGTTTTATCATTAAAATTCTATGATAGTCACATTTTAAACAATCACAATAAAACAATTCGTATAATACGGAGTAATTTGGTTCAACGGAATAATAAAGTGTGAAACTATCCGGTCAAACTTCACCAGATAAATACGTAGAATTGGTAGAAAACAATGAACAATACTTTTCTTGACATCACATTATTTATTTCAAAACATTATAATAAGGCTTTTCAAACAATCAGGTTACCAACTCAATTATTACATGTATATAGTATAGTGTGACTGGGGACCCTGTGCTTTTATTTAAGACTTGATCCATCCATCTACTTGCTACAGCATTCATTCAACAAATCAAAATCTTTTGAAAAAAGTCTGAATTTTATAAAATTACAATGGCTACCCTCGTTGCTCCTGACCATGCTGATCCCATTGCTGATGCTGAAGCTCTAAGAGCTGCTTGTGAAGGTCATCATCATCATTGATTTTAATTATCATCATCTTTAATACATTATTTACATTATGTTAATTCTGTGTCATCTTTTATTTTGATGTGCTTTTTAACTCTGTTTTAAAGATTTTGATTTCTCTGTTTTGTGGGTTTTTATCATTTCATTCTTAATTTTGATCTTAATTTTTTTGTTTTTGGGTATTAGGAAAGCCGTAAGGGCAAGTGAGGTAGATGGGACTTGTCCCAAATCCCAAGTCTTGAGTACCACCCCCTCAAGACTTTAATCAGATCATCCTTATTTTGATCTTAATTATGGTCCTATGAACTAAATACATTACTTGATTTAATCTTGTTAATCTTGTCAATTGTTTTTAGCATTTGATCTTCAGATGTGCTACATTGACTATTTTTTTCATTGGTTTTGTTATGCCTGAAGCTTAAGTTGACTTTATTTTTATACATCTCAATCTAATTAAATAGGGAATACTTTATGATAAATTATCATCTAAATTTAATGGTGGGTTGATTGGAAAATGCAGGATGGGGAACTAATGAGAAGGGAATTATCGAAATCATCGGTCACAGAACTGCAGCCCAGTTAAAGCTGATTAAGGAAGCATATGAAGAGATGTACAGTGAAAATCTTATCAAGCGATTTGAGAAAGAGCTTTCTGGCAATTTCGAGGTATAAATTATAAGACCATTTTGTTACTCGTACTCTTCATTTACCAGTGTTAGAGACTTGACACTACGACACTTTATTTTAGGCCACAATCATGTAACACTTTCACAAAATAAGTGAGTGTGACACTTGGACACATACCTATGTCCGATCCTAACATAGATGCGGACTATTATAAATTTATTATGAAACAATGAGACAATGAGTATCTAGTAGTTCTAAATCTTACTTTTATGTAATGTAGAAAGCAGTATACCGATGGATGTTGGACCCATGTGAACGGGAGGCTGTTCTAGCCCATGATGCTTTGAAGAAAAAGGAGTTCGGAGTTATCATTGAAATCTCATGCATCCCATCTTCTGATGAGCTGTTGGCAATCAAGAGAGCTTATCAAGCTCGATACAAGCATAGCTTGGAAGAAGATGTGGCTTCTCATTTCTCTGGTGATCTGCGCAAGGCAAGTCCTCGGATCCTAACCATTGATTATATTGAGTTGGCTATTGATGTCTTTAGATTGTCATAACTAATAATGTTGTAATGTTGAATGTTGCTGCAGCTGCTACTTCTGCTGGTTAGTGTTTACAGGTACGACTCATATGAGACTGAAGTGACAGACCCAAAATTGGTCGAGGCAGAGGCTAAAATTCTTGAAGATTGCATCAAAGATAAGGAATATAACCATGATGAGATCATTAGGATCCTCACCACTAGGAGCAAGGCTCATCTCATTTCAACCTTCTATCGCTATGAAGATATCAGTGGCACTCCCCTTGTTGAGGTGAATTAAACTAACAATCATGGACTTTTGACAGCATTCCTAATAAAACTTTGTGAACTTATATGAACTTGTTTGAATAATTTTTGTCGTGGTTTTTGAGCTTATTTACTTTGTGTTTTCATATCAAAACTCGTCTTAAGGAGATAATCTAATGCAGTAAATTTGATCTGGTCTCCACAGGTTTTGGATTCTGATAAGGAATTTGTCGTAGCACTCCAAGCTGCTATTCGATGCATCAAGTGCCCCCAGGAGTACTTGGAACAGGTAGCTAGCTATTCTACATTTGCTAATCTAGGAAGAATTTTAAGTATTTTCATGTATAAAAAAAAGTGTTTCTGATAACGTGTCTGAACTCTGAAATCGTTAGGTTCTGACTGACGCGCTATTGAAGCATGGAACTGATGAGGATGCACTGACTAGAGTCATAGTTACAAGGGCTGAAAAGGATTTGGGAGAGATTAAGGAGCGATTCTACCAGAGGCACAGTAAGACTCTGGAGCAAGTTGTGGCCAAGGAGACTCACTGGGACTACGAGCCCTTCCTCCTTGCTTTGCTTGGAAAGAAGGATCATTAAACAAGATTAAACACAAAACAATACCAATGTTATTATTGTCGTCTCTGTTATGAGTGTGTATCTTTTCTTTTGGCTTGTTTTGTGGCCAATTTAATCAGCTTTGATGTTGCTGAGAGATTTTACAAGGTTTTGTGCAGTCTATGTATTGCTACAAGGTTCTTTGTGCTATGTATTGTTGAGAATAATATCATTTGAGTGTTTTACCCTCTAATGAATTTGGCGTGGCATCAGTTAAATTTCAGATAGAGATGAAATTTGGCATAAATTTCATATGAATAGTTGAAGAACAAGTAAATAATGAAAGATAAAAAGATTTCATGATATAATTTTCGATAAAACCATTTTTATCTAAAGTAATGTCACATACTTACAAAGTATAATAAACTGTACAATAAATCTGCGCGAAGTAACAAAGGAAGCAGAAGCTGCACTTAAACCTCTTCAGCTAAATTTTCGTATTAAATGGGAAATTAATAATAGGAATGGACAATGAGCAATCTGTAAATATGAGTGGAAATGGAAGAATCAGCGAATGAGTGAACAAGCAGATATCAATGGAAGATATACAAGAGGACAATGAACAATCTATTAATATGCTGGTGAAATAGGTAAGCACTGACTACATAGAACTTACAGACCTATGAGTCCAGCTTCCAGAAAATCTGTTAAGCCAGTTTTCACTGGCCAGTTGCCTGCAATTCATCTCATAATGGAGAGGAGCGCGAAACGAATTCACCAAATACCTGCAATTCAAGCTGTATTAGCTCATTTAACTGTGCATCAGGATGTAATCAATCCTGATGAACCTCACTATTCAGCAAACACCTGATAAGCCAATTTGATCTTTAAACAAAAGAAATTCAAAACCCACTGTAGCAAGTAATGGCTGAAGGGTTGACAAACACATGCTATAACAAAAACAGCTTCAGCATGCCACTTAATGAAAAACATATTCAAAAATATACTACAAAAGAGCTAAATTATCTTCCACAATATTACAGATTACATTGTTTTTTGTCAACTCGTGGCGGAATTGACAAATCTGCCTTGATCATCTGTATATATGCCACTACCTGTATGGCACTAAACGACTGCAATAACGGCTAAACAGCACAGTAATCATTTGCTGAACAATCACTCATTAAACTTGAGTCATGACAAGTGAGAAATGCACACTGGTGTAAATATATGCGTCACATGACATTATATGTAGTCCAAGACAGAGATAATTTAACTAGGCAGAGTGTATTCACCTAATAGGAGCGTTGAACAGTAAAGCTGAAGTACAGCTTCAGGCATGGTTTAATACTTTTATTCACTTATTTTTAACCACTCAGTATTATTAAAGAAAAGTATGAATTAAACACAAAGCATATAAAGAAAATTTCTATAAAGGTTGCAACAACCAGTATCTAGTATTCATCTAAAGGATTGAATTGTAATGAACATACGAAACTTCAATTTGTTCTATGTTCTTTTAGTATCCAGTATCTTTGCATTAGCTTTCCCAAGTTTTTTTTAGTATGCATTGAAGTGTATAGTATATAAACCAAGATTATGGGCAAAAGCAAGCAATAATAACCATTTCTCATAGATGTAAATATTAAGTAGATGCCTACAAATAATAAGTAGCCAATTCTGATGGATAATCCTTCATCTCTTATAAATAAGATAAACATATAAGAGTACATACAAGAAAGACATAAACATAAATTTGAAGAATTAAAACATCCACCAAAAGCCAGTTTGTGCTTATAAGCTTATTCCCCTCTAGCAACCAATGTGAGCAAGAACTCCTTGAAGTTTCCGAGACAAGTCTCTTCGATTTTCTGGGACAAAGGAATTCCAAATCGCTTCTGGTATGCAGCTTTTATCTCCTCCATATTACCATCAGCTTGAGATACAATTACTCGAGTTAGAGCCTCTTGGGTGAACTCATCAGCCCCTTTTCTCAGTGCCGCATCCAAAGCCTGTAGTTTATTAATTTGATCATAAGCCTTCATCAGTATCTTAAACAACAATAAAGCTTTATGTTAGCTACATGACTGATATCTTTAATCGCGCCTTACCTCACTGAAGTACACCGCAGGGACAACTAAGCATTCCAGCGCTACTTTTAAGCTCGGATTACCATGAAGATCCTGCAGAGATTAGTACAGTGGTGAAAATTCTGTTTTCATTTTTCCAATCAGATGGTTTAGCACAAGTTTGAAGCTTGATTGCAGTCTAAGCGCATAAAAATTTTCTGTGTTTTTATATTCGGGGCTTAATCAAGTTGAATTTAGTCCGAGGAATTTTATACCTCATTCAGTTCTTTGCCAAACAACTCCTTGTAGTGTCTGAAGATAGCCGTGAGATGGGGCTTGCTCCTTGTACACAATATCCTCACTACCTCTTCATCCTCGACGGGATGAATATTCTTGATAGCATGGTGAAGAGCCTCAGCTTCAGATTTAGCAGTCCCATCATGCACCCGAGTACCTTCATACCTGTAGGCGCTCACTAGTGCTACCAAAAACTATATATCCAGCAAAAACCAATAAATATTTGTTACTTTATGTTAATAAAACAAAGATGACTGATGTAGTTTTGAGGCAGCCTTAGAAAGTTAGAAGGAAAGAGTGAATTTTGGACGGGGAGAAACTAACCTTGCGTTCGTGGCCATAAGCATGGGATGCAACATCTTCCTCCACTGAAGAGTCGAATAGGGAATGGTAAGCTTTCCTCGCTCCCAAAAGCTCTTCTGACGATCTTGTGCAAGCAATTTCAATGACCAAGTTATAACCTTGAGGGCCCTTGGTTAAAGCCTCCTTGAGCAAACGAGCATCTCTTTCCCAAGGATGCATGGTCCATAGCACCAAAGCACTCTAAGAAATGCATGTGTAAGAAAGTTGATAGTTAAGCACCAAATATAAAACAGCAAAGTCTAGGTGACGAACTCAAGAGTCTAATTATTCATTTATGATAATATAAACTTCATCAGAATTGAAGCGAAAAACAAATATTCATATACCTTAAATCGCAAAACTTCATGCTTGATGAGTTCAACTTGTTTCTCATTCCACTTCTCAAATTGGCGTTCATTATCTGCTAAAAAATGGCTTGGACTAGACTTCCTAAACGAGTTTTTGTGGTCATGTTGCCACCTCCCAACAGTCGATATCAATGCCTTCTCATCGACTCCAAGTCCTTCATTAAGGTAAGAAAAAATATGTTTAGTACGAAGTATACACCATTCCTAGTAACAAACAACTCGTACAATTATTAGTCAAACTTGTGTTTTGACAAGTGTAAAAGTCAAAATGTTACGATTATTGAAAAATGAAAGAGATATACTTTTGCATCATCCTTTTTTTTATGGTACAACAATGACATGGCATAGAAGACAACTCAGAAAGCATAAATTTATTGTTGTTAAAAAATCGCTGTCTTCTTGTCACTTAAAAGGCTTGATTTGTAGGCCCATTTATTAAAGATGGTCCAGATAAATAGTTCGCTACGTGTAAATGTATAATGACAAATTAATAATTCATCAAATTGATAAGGGCATGTTTGGTGTTGTTTTTTTGCTTTCAGTTTTCTGTTTTTCGAAAATAAAAAACCAAAAACAGAAAATAAGAAAAAGGTGTTTTCACTTTTCTGTTGTCAGTTTTCAAAATTATCATGAGTTTAATAAATTTAACTAGTTTTTTATTTATTATATGACATATATCATATGATTTTGAAAAACAAAAAACCAAAAAACAGAAAACTACAGTGATGCCAAACGAACCCTAAATAAGCACATTTATTTATTTATTTTTTGTTAAGTTGAGTCAATTTTGAAGTCAACTATTAAGGATGTGTTTAGTTATTTGGGTTAGTCCTAATTCTAAACACTCTTATTTACCTATTTTTGAATTTGAGAAATTATATCAGGTAACCCTGTGTTTTATATAATTTTCTTATGTAATCCTAACTTTTGCACAACTTCTTGAGGTAACCTTAAACTTGTAAAATCATTAAATTGGACAGAAAAGCTAACACCATTAATTAATTTCTTAAGTTACTTATCTTCTTTTTCTTTTCATTTTAACTATTTTAGATTTTTAGTATAAAAATAATGAAATTAATTAAAGTTGTTATGTTTTACATCTAATTTAATGAGTTTTTGTAAGTTTAATGTTACCTCAAGCAGTAGTGTAAAAGTTGGGGTTATATAAGAAAAACGCATAAAACACAAGGTCACATGGTATAATATCCCTATAAATTTTCTTTCGACAAAGAAAATTTTCTCTTCTCCCTATTCTTATGATCATTTACATCCCATAAGTCTGTCTATATTATTTCATACAACTATTTCAAATGAAATGAAATTTTGATGTAGTGGTAGAAGATTGAAATATGTATATTAGTAATTCTCTCGTGGCTCATTTGATTAATAAAAAAAATGAAACTAAAATAACATTCATGGTTCTAATAAATTTTTAATTTCTATCCAACAAAAAAGGGACCTACAGTCTAGTAACATCCACATGCATATCCTTGATTTTTGTTTGTATCAATTTAAAATCACACGTAATTTTGGAACGTTTTTCTTTCCCTTCAAGTATAGTGTTTAGATGAACTAAAATTATTTATTTCACATTAGAACTGAATTACTCAATATAATTTTTTTTTACCAAATTATCTGAAGAGCACGAATTATTGTGATGCATTTGGCTATATATAGAGTTAGGTGCACCAATACTTTTGTGTGTAATAAATACCCTTAATACATCTCAATATATGTAAGAATCTCTCATTCTACTAGAACACAACAACTTTCATTTTATAGACTTAAGAACAGAGTAACTTTATGCTTTCTTTCTTTTTTCCACGTGGTAATAAAAGAAAATCTCTCGTGGTAATTACGGCTAATTACTGAATCATTTGATGTTGAGAAAATTGTCAAAATATCCCAAACTTAAACTCAACTAAGCAGTAATGTAAATCTAAGTTTCTATGACTAATTGACTAGACTCTGAGGATCAACTTTGACCAATAATTTCATTCAAGTCATAATAACAATATTTGCTTAATTATTAAATAATGTCAATCTGGTGTGACTTACCAGAAACAAATTCTGATCAACAAACCAATTCTGTAACTTTTTTGAATAATTACTTTCAAAGTTTAGACCAACAACAAAGCCTTATTCTCAAAATGATTCGGGAAAGTACTTCGCTAAAAACCAACAAACAAATTTACACAAGACATTGCAATTTATGAGTTAGGCTCAAATGAATCCTGTTTAATGGCTAATATTACGACTAATTAAGCAGAATTTATTTTTCAAAAGTAGCATATTAAATTAAAATAATTCCATACATTTTTTAAAATAACTTTAAGATGAAAGAGATAGGAGAGAGAAAAACCTGAGAAAGCCTTGGTGACAGCTTCATGATCAAGAGAGATATCAGCCATGGTTGAACTTCTTGTTTCTATTGAGGAGAGAGACCGGTAAAAGCACTGAAATAATTTAAATAGATGGTCACCTAATTGTATATATACAGAGTTGATTTAATCATGAGGGTATTTTCGTCATTTATGTAATTATAAGGCAGATTAATTTTAATATAATGTCATTGTGATTTTTTTTATTGATTATTTTATGACATTGTGAAACGCATTACTTTGGTCAAACATCCTTTAATCTAAAGTACAAATTATACTTATTAATATAAGTAACTTCAGTATTTATAAATAAGTTCCTTGAATTATCTTAATGGTTTCAATAAAATTTCTTGTACATGATCGTTGTGTAAAAGTATCCTCATATGAATATAATTAGCTCTTTATATGTGATTTGTGTGGTACTATTTGGACGGGCTTGCTTGGATTGCCCCTTGCACTCTATTTTTATCGTTTTTATAGTCTGAGGAACTAATACACTGGTCAGAAAAAAGCAATCGAGTTCTGTTGACAAATAAACTTGGTTATATCAAATATAAGTTCGTGTTTTTCATGTGAGAAGATAATTATACAAATCAAAGAACATTAGAAACTACCATAATTTTGACTTATTCATGAATTTGTAATACTTGACATTAACTCGACCTATTTCACTAATTTGGTGACAAATATTGAGAAAGTCAAGACCAACAAATTTGAAATTTATGACAAACAAGCTCCTTTTTTTGTATTAGCTGAGTCACTACTTAAAAAATGTGTTACATCGTACCAAATTTAAGAGATGCATATTAAATTAGATTGGAATTTCACTAGAAACCATAATTGTTTATAAAAAAAATATAAATAAATAAATAAACCATAATTATTACTTTCTTCGATTTTAATAACAGTAACACTTCCCATAAATGATGTTTCAAATAAATACATTATGAAGTACTCGTATCTTCCTATTGATTAAGGAAAAAAAAAACGTTTTAAAAGAAGAAAAAACATTAATCGTCAAAACTCGAGAGGGGGGGGGGGGGGTGGGGGGACAAAGGAGAAATTCAATAAAAGTAAGATTTGTCGTCAAAAATAAACCATGTTTAAGAGATCATTACTCCTCTTAGTCCTAAAAGTACGTGCTTATTTAGCATATGGTGATTATTTAGAGATCATCTACGTACTAAATTTTATGTGATAAGTGCGTTGTTAGCTCATCTATTTTCGTTGTCAAAAATAATAATAATAATAAATTTAAAAAAAAAAAAAAAAACTTATCTATTTTATTTTAATTAACTTTTGTTTGTTCCATAATATATAGATTGGTGCAATGCTTCTAAATATTATATCTAAGGAGTGTTTGGTATGTGAGAATTGGGGTTTGGGAATAAATTGAGGAGGTGAGAATATATATTGCCTTGTTTGTTTTGTGGGAAGGAGAATTGTAGATGGGATTAGGAATGGAAATAAAATAGCTCTATTCTCATGATTTTATTATCCTAGAGGGGGGGGGGGGGAAGTAATAGAAATTAGAATTGGGAGTAAAGAGGAAAAGATCATTTTGTCGTTAATGAAAGCATAAGATATAACATTAGTAAAGGTGTTATTGTAAATTTGATATTTATTCTCAATCAATTCCCTTTACAACCCAAACAAGGATTGTCAATATTATATTGATTTCCCAACCATAAATTATGTAAATATTTCACCTGAGAATGGGGGTGAATGAGATTTGAACTCATGATTTTTGTGTTACACTAGCTCTTGATGATACCATGTTAATTAAAGAATCAACTCAACCAAAATGCTAAACTAATGGTTAAATTTCAGGATCGCTTTATATAAACTATCAATCACCTTTTACAAAATTTGTCAAATAAGTAGAATGTAGTATTTTCTATAAACAAATTATAAAAATAAAAATAAAAAATAAATAAAAAATAAAAATAAAAAAAAGGCAATGATTGCATTTTACGGAGTATTTGCATATGTAGTCGTATGTTTTTTTTCATACGCCCATACCACGTAAGTCCGTATTATTATTTGTCTTCACCCTTCACCGTACACATAATGTGAATAGTACAAAACGTGATGCACGAGTACTGGGTAGGGATGACAATATTAAATGGATATCCGCTAACCCGCTCCACCCGCTTAAAATAAATGGACGAAAATCCGAATTAAATGGATGAGAAGCAGGTGACGGATGAAGCGGATGATGGATTGGATCGGATGTGGATGATATTTTTTTCACCCGCTAACCATCCACCCATCCGTTTAACATATATTAAATTTTTAATCAAAGAATTTTACTAATAAAATATAGAATGTGCAAGAAATTACTTGTTTTTTTTTTGTTGCAAATTAATTTTTCAAACAATATGTTGTTATTATTTCTTTTTTATTAATAAGTTAAAATAATAATTATATAAATAAACGAAAATTAAAGTTTATGTGAGTTTTTTTTTTTCATTCTAGTACTCATCCATTTGTCATCCGCTCCACCCGTTTCATCCGCGGATGATGGACGGACGGATATGGATGATGGGTGAAGCGGATGACGGATGGATGTGGATGGAGCAATTAGGATAATGGATGGATGCGGGTGAAGCTCCACCCGATCCAAATCCGATCCATTGCCATCTCTAGTATTGGGCCAGTAGTTTATCTCATTAACATATTAACCAGAATAATGAAATGCACTGCACGCTGTTGCCTGCAAAGTTCCATCATCAAAAAAAAAATTCATTATATCATTGTTTGATTTGTTTCCCATTGTAAAAATAATATGGAAAAATACACTTTAATAATCCAAATTATTAGCGATTTACTTTTAATAATGTTAACTAAGGTTTATTGTCTAATAATCCCAACTATTAGGTATGTTTGTCTAGAGTATTCTGAACCGGTCAACACCAAGTCTATGACTTGTTGTAACAGGTAATCAATCCACGTGTCAGCGCGTGATTGGTCTAAAATTAAAAAATTAAAAAAAAAGGAAAAATAAATATAAAAGGAAAAAAAACCTAAAAAAACCTCCCAGCCACCACCCATCCCTTTCAGCCACCGCGAAGCCCAGATCCAGCCCGCGACCGTCTCCCCTTACCCCTGAAAACGACCGACACTAAACCCCCCTTCCCAATCTTTCTTCCTATCGCCTCCTCCGTCGTTTGACGCGCTGGAAAACCCTCTAATAACCACCTCTGAAATCTCAACCTCGACCCTGAAAAACCCCTACCCATGCCTAAAAACTACCTAACTACACAAAAAAAACAACCTTGACCCCAAAATAGCCACCTCCCTTCTCACGCTCAACCCCAAATAACCACCAATTACAAGCCACGCAACCCCAAACAGCCACTAACTACCAGCCACACAACCCCAAACAACCACCAATTACTAGCCACACAACCCCAAACAACCACCAATTACCAACCACGCTCAACCCCAAGCAACCCCGCAACTCGCAACTCCAAGCCTCCACTCCTCCAACCCTCCAACCACCACCAATTACCAGCCACGCACAAACTCAACCACCATATAGCCACGCAACTCACAACTCCAACCAATTCAAGCATCGCTGCATAAATGGCTGATGATTTTGGGGGTTGGGAAGGCCGGTTGGCCATTTTGTGGGGGTTACGGGAGGTCGCTGACCGACTTTCAGTGGCTTGGGGTTGGGCCTTAGGGTTTCACGGTGGGGGGAAGGGGGGGAGGTGGCTGGGGATGGGTTTCGGTTTTTTTTTTTTTTTTTTTTTTTTTTTTAATTTTAAATTTTTTTTTATTCTGAAGCAATTACATGCTGACATGTGGATTTTTAAAAAAAAAAAATTTTTACCCCTTTAGCAGGTTACCGGTCATTGGGACTACTCTAGGTAAACATACCCAATAGCTGGGATTATTAAATAATAAACCTTAGTTGGGATTATTAAAAGTAAATCGTCAATAGTTGGGATTATTAAAGTGTATTTTTCCAAAAAATAATAATAATAAACTAATGTGTAAGATTATAGTTCCCTCTAGGTTTTCTCTTTAGAAGGGTTTTTTTGGTTCCCTCTAGGATTTCTCTTTTGGGAGGATTTTTCTAGCCTCCATTGCTAGATTTTTTCTGTTTTTTTTTTAAGGTTTTCTATCACTCTTCTCCTTTACTCTCTTTCTTTTTCATCTCTTTTCTTCTGGTCTCAATTGTAAACTTTTGTAGGGGCTTCCATCGGTGTTTTTATCGGTGGTAAGCCCCAAAAAACTTTATAATTGCTTTCAATAAATGGATCTCATCTTTATGATGGTGTTTATTCTAATAGGCTTAATTTCTTTGTTTGTTCGTCTGCCAAAGATTGAAGATTTATAATTTCATAATCTCCGAAAGTATCTAGAAGGTCATATGAGTTTTTTTCACCCAAACAACTATTCATCCGTGGATCTCAAGCCGAATTTGTACTAACTCACATACTGTATTGTTTCGGATGAAGTTTTTGATTAAGGCGATCGTTGATCGATTCTGCAATGTAACTAGTTCGAAGGTGATTTGTATTTGTATTGGAATTTTAGATTCCTAGAATTGTTTGTGAGTGCCATTTGACTATCTTTCATTAATTAATTCCTTTTTCTTCTTGTAAAATAATAATAATAATAATAATAATAATAATAATAATAATAAATAATAATAATAATAATAATAATAATAATAATAAAAATAATAAAAAGTTCCACCATTGTTTCCCATCAAAAAAAAAAATACTCTAAATTATAGGTGTTTCACAATGTTCCAACATTGTTTCCCATCAAAAAATAATAATATGATACAAGACTACTTTGTTGAAGAATAGACGGACCTCTCAAGTATCACCATATGTAAGTGTCCCACATTGAGAAACAATAGAGTTAAACATTTTATAAGGCTAAAGGGTTACTCCTCCTATTGCCATATGATTTTAGGATAGAACCTCCTTTGGACTTGTGAAGTAGACTCTCTCTCTTAGTTTGCGTGTGTGACCCAAATCCGTATTTAATATATTTGCACGAAAATAAACATTCTGAAATGTAGGTGTTTGACAATGAATACGTATGTTTAGCCATTTCGTTACCTCTAAAATTGGCCTAATGG